AATCGACTTCCTTGCTTAATGATGATCTGCAAGACCAAAAGCCATTGCTTAAAACTCATGCAGGGGAAAGAAAATGAAAATAAATAAATAAAAAATCAAACTTAATTAAGTGCGATATTAACTGTCACAGTCAATCAATCATATTTTTTTTTTTTTTTTAAGGATTGCTCAAACACTCGATAATACACTTAAGATGCGATGAATTTACTACGTGAATGCATGCACATATTCGTATTTATTACATCTATGTATTTAGACATTTTCTCAAAGTAATTCCACTTTTAATTTACAAAGAATTAAGTAGAGTACTTGAGGCCTCTCTTAACCATTGACCCTTATTAATTACAAACACTAATCAGTTGCTATCTCCTCAATACCAGACAGATCAAGAGACGCTACGTCTTTCTCATACTAGTTGTCCGCAATAACGAAGTCAACTCCAACATTTTGCAGTTTTTCTCTTGTTCATATCCATGCATAGAGAAGCTGTGTAAGAACTGAAAACAAAGAACTTGGCCAAAGCTGGGTGGGATGCAATATCCCTGGTTCCGGATATGACAAACTAATTTAGTGGTTGACAAGAAAGGTAGCTGGCTGCGTGGATGGAAATAAGTTGCTGGTGGATCGAAATGGGGATTGAATAATTGGCTAAAAAATGGCCTACTCAATAGCTTGGAGGGGCCAGTAAAGACTTGAATGTTCTCATTGACATGGAAAAATTAGAACGAAGAAACGCGTTAACCATCATGCAGTTTGCAGATGCCGTCTTCATCACTATTTCTTTTGGTTCGGGTTGCGGGGGGCAATCAGCATACATATTATGGGACCTTTTGAACGCCAAATTATCACTTAAAATAGGGAAAATCAGTAGCCTCCTTATAGATTTATTGTACCATAAAGTTTTTAATGGACAAAAAGAATTTCAATGTCGGATTATTTGTTTTTCAATTATAAGAGAATTGATGAGTACGTCCCTACATTCTTTCTTTCTTTTCTTTTCTTTTTTTCAATCGAAAACCTAGTTTTCCATAATGGCGTTTTTTTTTCTTTGATATTGGAAATATCATAATGGCTTTTTTTTATATATATAGTATTATCATTTTTTCAAAAGGATAAGAAGCAAAGACTTTATTGGTACGTAATTCATTTTACACCATGATGATGATGATGTGCAAGTCCAAGTTATGTAGCTTCAAGTATTTCGCTTTCTTTTATGAAAAGGAAAATGGGATTTGACCCACTCAAGTTGCATGTCATAGACTACGAAAAAATATCGGTTTTGCAAGTCCACGGAAAGTAATTGTCAAAGTGACACTAAAAACTTTGTGGTGCATCAAAAGGTTGGTTAGTTGCTCAATATAGTTGAATGTGTATACTGTATATCATTCATCTTAGTATATACTTACATCTGTAATGCGAGGGTGCATATTGTAAAAAACAAGTTTTTTTTTTTATGTTGAGGCCTTTGGCTATATTGAGCTAACTCTTCATACTTGTGTGTTAGACTTGTGTAAATAATAGTAAGCCATTAGTTAGTTGATTATGAAATTGTATAAATAAAAATATATCATTAGTTAGTTGATCGTAAGGTCAATTTTTTTTTCTAAACGAGAGATTTTGAATTCAAAATTTCTTATTTATAATTCTTTTCAATTTATCATCTAACTCAACCATTCGTAGATCATGAGATCACTTGTTCGACTTTCAATTCTTCTATTTTTTCCCTTCTCCAAGACTCAATATCTCCTTTAAAACAAACAAAATAAAAAGAAATTATTTTGAAAAACTTGGTAGGTGTATTCAGTTTATTGTATCAAAGACTGTAAGCATAAGGACGTTGCTCCCGTTTAAGATGTGCACCAATGACTTACATGGTTTACAGGATATTATGTCTACGTAAGTAAATATCTTTGAGCTCTACAATCTTCATGGGAATATTATTGGCTTACCTTGTATACTATTCTTAGTGCCCGCGCGATTCTTCAAATTGATATATAACCACCAAAATCGAATGCAGCCCAACATTTATTTCAGAACACGTTTCAATCTTCAACTTTTTGTACCAAATGATCGAACCAGAAAGAGAAACAAGTTTCGACAACTATGTAATGATACAGAGTGTGCTTTCATTTCATGCATGTCTTGGTTAGTTCCTTGATTGCAGATTAATGCAGACGATTGATCAAGTACGTACTTTAACTGAAGCAAGTATCTATCATGTTACTGCTAACTACCGCGGTGGAACTTCATAACCTCAGACCAACAATGAATTTAAAATTGAATCATGAGCCTTGAAAGAATTCACCAAAAAAAATAATGCAAATGGTCAAGTTTTGGCGCAACTTCATAGTTCGTATACATATGAAGAGGGGAAAAAAACGGAAATCTGGAAATCTCCGCTCTGCTGTCTCTTAGACTATAACAAACAAGAGAAATTTCCAATTTCCAAATTCGTGTATATACAGATCTCCACTAATGAAAAAAAACCAGACAATTAGTTTCCACGTGGTCAGATGATGGATATCCCATGCACTAAACTACTCAGCTTAAGTAACCGGTGGTGCCCATCATCCATGTTATAGTAAACCTTAATCCACCTCTACATACGACAAGAAACTCCATCTTGCATCATCAGCTACCTTAATTATCTCATCATGGAAAATAGAGAGCAAAAAACTTCTTCATCACAAGGAATGGTGAGGCCCATCTCATGGTTGAAGCCAAACTCTTCTTCAGCTCGTTGTAACAAGCTCTGGAATTCCGGGTGTTCCAAGCAAGAAATGGGGATGATGTATCTGGTCCTATTTTGGCCAACATATACTGCAAAATGGCCTTTTGGGACATCATGTGGAAGGCTATTGTCGTGATCATGACCAGTATTCTTCCTTCCAAAACTTGAACACTTTTTGAGGATTTGTTTGAGGGCCGCCGTTTGAGTAGCGGCATGTTTTGTTCCTTTCTTAAGAGCCATGTTTATGGACTTTAGAAGAAAAAGGCTCAGCCAGGCAAAGAAGAGATAGAAGTTGTATGTATTAAGAGGAAAAAGTGCTAAAGAGAATGAAGGGTTCGAAGGAGGTGGGGATGAATTGAGGAGAATGTGGAGGAGTAGTAGTATTTATGGGGAAAAAGAAGAAGACAGGGAGTGATTATCTGCGAAACAAAGACATGTGGAGTGTGGGGGCAACAAACTAACAGGGCTTAGATGTTCTTATTTGAGAAGTCTTGTTCAAGGCCATGCAACCTCATTCCCCATTTGGCCTTTTCCCTTTTTCTTGTTACCCCTCCCATAGACAAAGTGGACCACTATACTCTATGCTCTATACCATATACTCCAATCTCCGTTCATCCTATGTGTGTATTTGTGTTTTGGACAGTGTGATTGTGCATGAAATCCCCATTTGATTAATGATTGATCAAGAGAATTAGGATATGGTACGTTATACTCATGCACACGGTACTTAAGTTGTAAGGTCGCCAAAAGGTCACGCAATGACAATTAAACCATCTTATTAGTTTAATCAGGGTGGGAGTCTGTTGTCTGGCACGTTTAAGGCATGTAAAACCAATGCTTTTGAGTTTCGCCATCCATGTTCGTTATCGATACTTGGCATTAACAACCTCGGTTTCCAGTTCCACCTTCGGAACTGCTAGGTGGCACGGAATTGAAACTGACGAATCATCCCATGGCCTACACTAGTTTCTTGGCTTCTTGCTGGTAGTAAAACTTCATTCTCAGGTCCCTCATATTTTCAAGTTCAATGTTTTTCTTCTTCTTTTTTTTTTTCCCCCGAGTCAGAGGTTAGATGTATCGGAAACATTAATCGTTTCTAGCTACTTCTGTGCTCTGTTTTCAGACTCGGACCGGATCGGCCGGTCGAACCGGTCGAACCGGAAACCGGCCAGGTAGCCGGTCCGAGTCACATTAGAAAACCGGAAATTTAAAATCCGGTCAAAGCCGGTCAAAAACCGGGTTTGACCGGGTTTGACCGGGAAAAAACCGGTTTTTCCGGTTCAACAGTAATTTTTTTTAAAAAAATTCAAACTTTTTAATATTATGTTTTGACCCCCTAAATTGTTAAAACTTATTGATATAGCTCAAATATTTGATACTTTATAAATATTGTCCTAAAATTTGATGTTATTTTTCAATTAAATTCATAATTTTAATTCTAAACTTGTTAATATTTATTAAATAATATAAATTGCTACTTGATTGTTCTAATTTCTTTGTATTTTCTTGTTAAATATATTTGAAACATCAAATATATATGAATATGCCTTTATTAATATCAATATATTATTAGATATTATATATATAATATTTTAATTTTTAAATAATTTTTATTTATGACGTCATCCGGTTCGACCCCTATCGACCCCCGGTCGAACCCATTGACCCCTGACCCCTGACCTCGGCCGAGTCGCTATCCGGTCCGGTTCTGAAAACATAGCTTCTGTGGCCAAGGAAGGAGATTGCAGTCTCTGTCTGTCCCAGTAGAATCTACATATGGGCTGCTCTTTTGTAGCATTTCGCATGATCATGACATTGGTTAGTTTTCCAGGGTACAACTTCTTGTGAGCTCAATATGGATTCATGAACGAATCAAGACTGATCATTTAAGGATGGATGAATGGCAGCTGTCTATTGTGAATGATCATCTTATTAAGTACAAGAAAGGGATGCCTTCGTCCTTTCTCTGAACAAAACAAATGGCAGTGTAGCTACATGTTTCAGCAAAAGATCAAGGACAACTCATTCTACTATTCATTTGCACGTAAATCCAGGACTACGTGAGTTTTTGTGTTTTTTTTTGGTTCAAATGTATGCATGCCCTAAGTCCTAGCCCTTTATTATTATTATTAGTTTTTAGTTTTTAAGGAAACAAGTTCAATATTAATATGAACAACGGGCAACCATTAATTGGGGTCCCCAATCCCAATCCGGAGTATTTATCATGGTCAGCAAATAGTAGCAGCATTCAAAACTAAGGCGACAAACAGCAGTTGTCTTCTGTACATGTCATGGAAGCTTCAAAAGAATTATCAAGGTCACCACTCACTTTTGTTCCAGAGAAGAACAAGTATATAGTGGCGGAATTTGTTGACTCTCTCCTTGGTGCTCTTAGGCAGATACTAGATTTTCACATCACTTTTATGGTCCCTGTGCCGGACCATATTCTGAATCTCCATGAGGGAGTAAAGTCAATCAGTATCCTTCTTCATGTGAAGCAAGAGAATTTCAATGCTCTACCTGACAAAATGAAGGATCATATTGGAGTTGTGATCATTGATTTAGGAATTGTAATTTGCTCCATTTCAGTGAATGAAATAAAACATGGCTTGGCAAAGGGAACAGATCTTGCAATTTCTCGTTTGGTGAAAGAGCTCCAATTTGTGATGCAAGAAGTTGCACAAACGCATCCTCCATCATCATCATCACTCAGATTCCCTAGGACTAACGAGCTGGGCTCTATTGATTTCTTCTTAGAGAATCTCCAGGAAATAGCAACTTCTGAGGCCGGTTCGATTGCTTCCCCAAAGGATCAAATCCAAATAATCCAAGAAGATCTTTTATTTTTAAGATCTTTCCTACAGAAAATTGCAAAGCAGCGCAACCAGAACGTGAAATTTCAAGCTCTTTGGGATGGTGCTATGGAGGTGGCCTACAAGGCAGAGTTTGTCATCGACTCTGTTGCGCTTGGGGATAGACTTGAATGTTTGGATACTGTTGCTGGAGATATCAAGCATACGAAGACTGAGGCCCTTAAAGTCTCTGACAGCATCAGGAATGATGATGAAGCTCAGAGAGTTGCCAACAACTCTATTCACTTCAAATCACAACTCAGTACCTGAATGAAGTTCTGGTGGGTCTTGATGAAGAGGTAAAGACAATTGCAGATGGGCTTACCAGGGGTTCAAACCAACTAGATATTGTTTCAATTGTGGGTATGGCTGGACTTGGTAAGACAACATTAGCCAACACAATTTACCATCACCCTTCAATTTTAGGCCACTTCCATTTCCGTGCTTGGTGTACTATTTCCCAAGTATACAGCAAGCAGAATTTGTTAGTTCAAATTTTGTCCAGTAGTGGTAGTGGAAGTCATGATCAATATATTAAGATGCATGAAGATGATTTGGTTGTGACGCTCTTCCAGCTTTTGAAGAGAAATAGGTATGTTATCATTTTGGATGACGTGTGGGACATTGGGGCATGGAATTTGTTGGAAAGATCGTTGCCAAACGATGCAAATGGAAGCAGGATTCTGTTCACCAGCAGGATTGAGAATTTGTCTTTGCAATTTAAATCTAATAGCAAGTCTCACCATCTCTGCCATCTTAGTGGTAAAGAGTGTCTTGAATTGCTTCTGAGGAAGATATTTGGCAAAGAAGATTGTCCTCCAACACTAATCAAAGTTTTAATGCAAGTAGCAAATAAGTGCAAGGGGCTACCTCACACAGTTGTCATTTTTGCTGGAATTCTTTCAAGAATTGAGCCAGACTGCTGGCAAGAATTTGCAGACAGCCTCAATTCCAACACTTCTAATAGCACTGAACCATTGGAGCTGAGTTACATTCATTTACCTGAATATTTGAAGCCATGCCTTCTTTACATAGGTGCATTTCGAGAAGACCAAGACATTCCTGTCCGAAAGTTGTCATGGCTTTGGATCTCTGAAGGATTTGTCCAAAAGATAGAAGGGAAGAGTCTAGATGATGTGGCAGAAGACTACTTGAAAGATTTGATTGGTAGAAGTTTGGTAATGGTAACCGAACAAAGAACTCTTGCTGGTGCCAAAATTTGCCGACTTCATGATTTAGTACATGAGTTTGTTGTGGCAAAGGCCAAAAAAGAAAGTTTTCTACAGATTTCATATGGGAGTAATGACCTTCTACAGATTTCAAATTGGGGTGATGACCTTTCTACTTCTACTGGACCCAGCCCCCACCGACTGTGTATGCATTCGATGAGCGGAAAGGAGCTTGAGATGTCCAGGCCATTTTTTCCTAGACTACGTTGTTTGCTCTCCTTTGGTTATGCTTGTACGGATTCAGAAGAGCTGCATGATGGCCCCTTTTGGTTTCTAAAATCAAAACTTCTTAGAGTTTTAGATTTTAGGGACATGCGTATTTCTTGCAATTTTCCAAGCGAATTATTATTGCTTGTGCACCTAAGATACTTGGCAATTAGCTTGTGGTATTCAGCATCCATTCCATCTGCCATAGACAACCTCTCAAGGTTACATACATTTCTGGTAGGGGGCAATGCTGTTGCTGGGTTGCCTAATACTATCTGGAACATTAAGACACTGAGACATCTAAGGAGAACAGAGCTTCCGGATCTGGGTGGTTCGACACTGAGATATCAAAAGAATAGAGCATTTCCGCCGAGTGGTTTTACGTTACCCACTCTCGACATTGAAGACTACCCAAACTAGATCATTTAGACACTTTGAGCCTTGCAATTGACTGCTTTGGTGAACAATTGCAGAAGATACTGAAAAAGCTACCAACCATTCGCAGGCTAAAATGCGTGCATGCAGATGGTGGAAAACGGACTGGGATTCTCAAGCTGGACAGTTTGAATCAACTAGAATCACTTCAGTTGCATCGCTTTTACGGCTGCAAGTTTGAATTCCCAATGAATTTGAAAAAGCTCACTCTCTCACGCAATAAATGGTCGTGGAGTGAAATTTCAACAATTGGAAAGTTGCCCAATCTTGAAGTGCTTAAATTATTAAAGAAGTCCTTCATGGGGGAAAAATGGGAAATGCAAGAAGGGGAATTCTCTAATCTCCGATTCTTGGAATTGTCAACATTGAATCTTTGCAGTTGGACTGCCTATAATTCTGATAAATTTTCTCGTCTTGAGAAATTGGTTTTGCATAGCTGTCTGCTGCTGGAAGATGTCCCTCTTTGTTTAGGGGAAAGTACTACCATTGAAATGATTGAGGTGGAAAATTGTTGCAACTCTCTTGTGAGTTCTGTAGAACAAATTCAGCAAGAACAGCTGGAGATGGGAAACCAGGATCTGAAGGTCGTTATCACACGCGCCATTTGACAGGCAGTGCAATTCTATTTATGTTGCAAAATTGACAATCCTTTTAGGCCTTTTGTGGCATTAGTGCAGCAGAAAAGGAAAAAGCCATTATTAAGAACGCTCTAAACGACATAGTCTGGGCGGCTGTAAATTAATTTATATTTCCTGTGGCTAAATAAATTTTCCTGAGTATAAATTACTTTTCCAAGCAAATTTTTAATTTTCTCTTTCCCTTCTTCCCTCCTTTCATTGCCTCTTCCATTTTTTCTCTTTACGTTGGAAGCGCTCACTCTATATCCCTATCCAATTGTGTTTCTCCTCCATTATCTCTAGCAGCTCTTTATTTCACGAAAAGAAAGAAAGAAAGCTTGATTTAATCCCTATCTGTGGTTTAATCTCAATTTTCTCCATCATTTATCAATTCCGATCAATAGCAGTGTCGTTTTTGGGGATTTTACTGTCAATCTCTCTTAATTTCCGAGTCTTTGTGCATAAATTGAAGGATCCAGACATCACAGAGCTGGTTTCACTTTTCCAAGTGATTCTGAATTCCTAATCATGGCCGAGGAATCTTCTCTTCGGTGCTGCCATTTAAATGCGAGGTGATTAGACTTTAGAAATAACTATTTTAGTCTCTGCAAATGTTTTTTCAGATACTTTTATCTCGTACAAATGGAGAATTCTTACATGTAATCCCATAATTGAAGCTTTTACAGATTAAAACATGTAATTTTATCGTGTTTTTACATTTTCTGGTCGAATTCAATATATGATTTAAGGTGGAATTATGAGCTTTATTTTCAAAACTTGAATGGCTTTGTTTGTCTATGCAGAATTATGTATACCTTTCTTGGTTCTGGATGCAAATCTTGCGTGTTCTTCTGGCTGTTTTTTGTTTAAAGAAAAATGGTTTTTGATTTGATAGTCGGTAGAAATTGTTGGCAGTTGTAAATAATTTTTCCCAGCCTATACACACACAGAAACTCTTCTAATTCGTTGACATATTCATTACTAGTTCCTTTTTTTTCTTTTGGCCCATATCCTTTTCAGAGTTTTTTTTTTTTTTTTTTTTTTTGTAAAGAAATGTGTAGTTTAAAGTGAACCTCTTTAGATTCTTTATTTTTTTGGGCTTTTTCTGCAGTCTTGAAATTTTGGGGGTTTGTGGATTGGCGGCAATTGGAAAGTTTTTGGAAATTTGAACTATTGAAAAGGAAATTTGTGTAGTTGCTTTCCTGTAGCAATTGAGAATTTATATAGCAAGTATGGCAGGTGATTATTTCTTTTTGTGTTCACCTTTTTGTGGGCATTTTTGAGATAGTATTCTTTGATGTTTACAGGCGTGACTTTGAAGCCAGAATTGTTAGATAGAAAATAAACTTCTTTGCAACTGTTAAATGTATATGGTGCTGTTTAGCTAACACGAGTTCTATAGAATTTAACAAATTATCTTGAGAAGTATACTTTATCTTGATACTCAGGAAATTATGCATCTTTCATTTGTGGGAAACTAATGAGTCATTTCTTGATGTCTGAGTTGAGTCATTTCTTGATATCTGAATCTGTGGGACCTACATGATTGCTATTGTTTTTAGCTTGTTAGTGTTGGATATAGTTTTCTTGATAACTTTCACCAATGCATGTCAGTCTATGGTAACTGGCTTTATTCAATTCATTTTTTTATTGTCTGCTAAACAGGATAATGATCAACCAGTTGCGTTAAAACTATGAGGTACAGACATTTTAGACTCTAGGTGTGTGGGCTTTATCTGATTTTAAAGTTAATGACGTTCAATCCAAATATCCTTGTTAGCTATCAAATATATATGACCAACCGAATGCCATATGTTGACAAATTAGACAATTCTTATTCTACTGAATTAATTTCTGTTTTATAAACCATTCAGGAATTCCTATGGAATTTGAGAACCCCCTATATCTTCTGTTGACGGAAGTACCAGAGGAGTAGATCCTCATATATGGTCAGATTTTTGCCGAGCAGGTAATCCCTATTTCTTACACATCAAGTACCAGAAAATTGATTAAGTCCTAGCTTGCTGCATATTCTCATTATAGAGAACAAGACCATGGTCTGATGTTGATATAATTTCCTATCTCATTTCTGTATCTAAACGGGGAAAAATCTCATTGCTATTGCATCACATAACATCAATCTGATAGTAACGGGTTACTAAGTAATTAATACGGCTGTTATGCTTTATACAAGACTGTCTATTTCTTTCTCCTAGATTCTAAATCTAGCATAATTGATAGCAAGTAGTTCTTTGAAATTTTCTTGGTAACCGAGCTAATCATCTTATAACACAAATTTCAAGGTCTGTAAATCTCTTTAAATCTAATGAGAAAGTTGGATTGAGTTTATAGAAAAATCATCTGTTAGTTCACGTTCTTTTCTGGAGTTGAGCCAAAATTCTTCCTACAGCATCATCTCTGAGTTGCTATACCTTAAATTTTACTTTTGTATTAGGACACTTAATAACGTGAAAGGCTATGCTATATAGCTCTCGTAAATGCTATTGATTACGGGGACTGTTGCTTTAAATTGACTGACTTCCTTGATGGTTATATCATCAATGGAGCTAAAGATCAAATGCATAAATCAGGTTTACTTTTACTCATGCTTGTTAATTAGCTAGCTTAAGTGCAATTTGATATCATAGAGGCTGATCTTAGTGATCTTTTTTAAAATAATTATCATGTAAGCAACTTCTTACACGCCAAACATAGCCGGAGAAAGAAGGCCTCAGACAAGTACAGTTGCACCATTCCAAGGCATCACAAAGCATTGCCTCAAGCGAAATACTTGTGGTCTGCCACTTTTTCTTAGTTGAATTTTCAGTGGTTTTATGGTCTGTTCTTTTTCTTCTTTGAATTTGCAGTGCTTTTCCAGTTTGCTTCGAATTTGTTCCAGGCATTAGCATTTAAAATAGACTATGGGCATTTCAAGGTTAGGCAAATTCATTCTTAGTATATGAAAGTCCATTTGAGTGATAGCTTTCATTTGCTAGCACATTGCATTGATATGGTTGGATTGTAGCTAGTTTTGGTATCTATGATTCTGGAACAAAGGCTGCAATGCAAAAATTTGAAACCATGATTGTGAATATGATGAAAGCGGAGTGGTTATATGTGTCTCAGAGTGTCAAAAAAGATTCTATATTTGGTTCTCTTTGACATGGGTTTAATTCATGTCTAGTTTCATTTGTTTTGGTATCTGGTATCTGTATGCTTTGGAAAACGAGAAAGAGAAATAAAATGGGTTGGCTTTTAGGCAATGATTTTGTAGATGCTGATGTATGTGGGGCTATAAAATAAATTAGGTGCATCTGGTCGAGTTTATGTGGATTGGGCAGTTAAAATGAAATAAATGCATCTTGGCACTGGTGTCACATGCAAGTAAGCTGATCCGATCCTGTCCTGAGTGCCGCTATTTTTAGCCATATGTTATCTTCTATTACTTGTCATGCTTTTATTTTCATTCTTTGTGGCTTTCATGTTATGTACTCCCATGCATTAGCTTTCCTATACACTAGTGTTCTGTTCATTTTCTGGCCCGGACTAGAGATTGAATTGTTGTAGCCCATAGAGATAGGTTTCTTTCTTCTCAATCCTATTGGTCAAACTTATCTCAATAAACAATAGTCTCTGAATCCCTATTTCCTCGAATCGAATATACTCATTTAGTAGTTTGGGTTCTTTTATTTAGTAAACTATAGTTTTATCCTTACTGCTTACTATTGCTCTTCGCAATCTTGGTTTACTTTTTTATTAGAGTTTGAAAGAGAAGAAGCAAGAGAGGAAGTTGTTTTGGGATGACATTCCTTCCCTTTTATATGTGAGTAGTACAACTGAGATATATATACAAGATTGAAATAATTTAGATCCAAAAATGAAGCTATCAAGATCCTAAAATCAAGCTAGAATAATTAGCTATCTACTTCCTATAATTAAACTAGGATAATCGGGCTAATAATTAGGCTATCTAATCCCTATAATTGATGTATAATATATCACACGTATCTAGATATATTCAACACTCCCCCTCAAGTTGGAGCATACAAATCATATGCACCAAGCTTGCCACATATATATTTTATACGAGGACCTCTTAGGGACTTGGTAAGAAAATCTGCAAGTTGATCACTTGAATTAACGAAACCCATCTCAATAACTTTGGAGATCAATTTTTCTCTAACAAAATGGCAATCAACTTCCATGTGCTTAGTCCTCTCATGAAAGACTGGATTGGAGGCAATGTGGAGTGCAGCTTGATTATCACAAATCAACTTCATTGGGTCACTAGTCCCCAAATTCAACTCATTGAGTAATTGTTTAAGCCATATTAGCTCACAGGTAGCCATAGCCATGGCTCGATACTCAGCCTCAGCACTGGATCTAGCAACCACATCTTGTTTTTTACTTTTCCAAGATATTAAGTTGCCACCAACCAGAATACAATAGCCTATGGTAGAACAACGATCAATAGGTGATCCTGTCCAATCTGCATCAGTGTAACCAATTACTTGCATGTTTCCTTTATCAGTATACAACAATCCTTGGCCAGGTGCTCCTTTGATATATTTGAGAATGCGGATAGCTGCATTCCAATGAGTATCACACGGGGAATCTAAAAACTGACTGATCACTGAGATAAAAAAAGATATGTCAGGACGTGTTACTGTAAGATAGTTCAACCGTCCCACAAGCCTACGATACTTTCCAGGATCCTTAAGTGGCTCCCCCTGTCCTGGAAATAATTTAATATTGGGATCCATTGGAGTTTCGACAGGCTTAGCATTTGACATGCCTGCCTTCTCCAAAATGTCCAATGCATATTTTCGTTGGCAAATAACAACGCCTTCTTTGGATTGGGCAACTTCGATACCCAAGAAATAACGAAGCTTGCCCAAATCTTTCGTCTGGAAATGGCCAAAAAGGTGGTTCTTTAACTGTGCAATTTCATCATGATCCTGTCCAATGATAATAATACCATCGACATAAACGACAAGATAAATGCTACCTTGTGACGAAGAATGACGATAAAACACTGAATGATCAGTCTCACTACAAATCATGCCATATTTTTGGACAACATCACGAAAGCGTCCAAACCAAGCCCGAGGAGATTGTTTGAGACCATAGAGTACACGTTTTAGTCGACAAACCATTCCACTAGACTTCCCCTGAATAACAAAATCAGGTGGTTGATCCATATAACTTCCTCCTGCAATGCACCATGAAGGAATGCATTCTTGATGTCTAATTGGTGCAAAGGCCAATGATGAACAGCAGAAAGAGATAAGATGAGACGAATAGAAGACATCTTGGCCATTGGAGAAAAGGTGTCAGTATAATCCAGACCAAAAATTTGAGTATAACCCTTAGCTACTAGACGAGCTTTAAGACGATCAATTTGACCATCCGGACCAACTTTAACAGTATAAATCCAACGACAACCAACAGTTGATTTACTAAGTGGGAGTGGGACCAGCTCCCAAGTGGAATTAGAGTGAAGAGCAGCCATTTCATCTATCATTGCCTGACGCCACCCAGAGTGGACATAGCCTCACCTATAGTTTTAGGAACAGACATGGACGACAAAGAGGACAAAAAGGCATAATAGGATGAAAACACGCACTGATAATTGAGACAAGTATAGTTGGGACATTGATTGCGAGTGGAACGAATACCTTTGCGGACAGCAATGGGTGGGCTGGCTGGAGAGGAGATCGTGGTAGGTGACGAACTTGGAATAGTTCGTGAGGCATCAGGGACATCAGCAGATTCTCCAACACCATTATCTGGAACTGTAGTAGGACAATTCCTTACATTGCGTCTCTGGTAAGTGAGCAATGGTGGTGATGCGGGTGAAGGTAAAGACTCTTTAGGAGGCTGACTAATGTCAGTGTCATGAGTAAGAGGAACAAAATAAGTAGAAACAGGAAGATCCTCTGTGATTGTAGAATGCTCAGACTTGTTAAGCTGAAAGAAAGGAGTAGACTCAAAGAACGTAACATCTGCAGAGATGCTGTATCGTCTAAGATCAAGAGAAAAACATTTGTACCCTTTTTGTGTTTGAGAGTACCCAAAAAATACACATTTGACAGCACATGAAGACAGCTTATCTTTTCCAGGAGTGCAATCATGTACAAAACATGTACAGCCATGTACGAGGGGAAATAGAAAATAGTGGAGCATTAGGATATACAAGAGAGTAAGGAACTTGATCCTTAAGGACAGATGATGGCATGCGATTAATCAAATAACATGCAGTGAGAATGGCATCCCCCCAAAAACGTAACGGAACATTTGCATGAAGAAGTAAAGTACGTGCTGTTTCAACCAAATGTCTATTTTTCCTTTCAGCAATCCTATTTTGTTGTGAGGTGTGAGAACATGATGATTGATGAATGATCCCTTTAGACTCCATAAAGGACTTGAAAGAGGTGGAGAAATACTCATGTGCATTATCACTACGTAAGATTTTTATGGAAACACCAAATTGTGTTTGAATTTTAGAGACGACTTTGAAAAATAGAAAATACTTCAGATCTATTTTTCATAAGAAACACCCCGGTACAACGAGAATAATCATCAATGAAAGTGACAAAATACTAAAAACCTAAAGTAGAAATAACACGACTCGGTCCCCAAACATCAGTATGGACCAAAGAAAATAGAGATTGAGCTCTACTATTAGCCTTTTTCAGAAAATGACTACGAGTGTGTTTTCCAAGCTGACATGATGCACACTCTAAGGAAGACATAGTAATAGATGGCACCATCTTTCGAAATTTATTTAAACTTGGATGACCCAAACGCCTATGGATTAGCAGAGGATCATCTACGGCAGAACAAGATACTGGTGTTGGTAAAGACAGATGGTAAAGTCCCTGAGACTCACGCCCTGTGCCAGTCGTCCGCCCCGTACCTCGATCCTGTAAAATTATAGATTCCTCATCAAATGTAACTAAGCAGTTAAGAGAACGATACAAACGACGAACAGATACTAAACTAAAAGGACAATTGGGTATAAAAAGAACAGAATCGAGAGGCACAGAAGGTAGAGGGTTAGCCTTGCCAATCCCTTTAGCTTGGGTTTGTGAGCCATTAGCAAGAGTAATATTGGGTAGGGAAGTAGAACTATGGAGTGAAGAGAAAAGTTGTGGATTATCAGAAATATGATCTGTGGCAGCAGAATCTAAAACCCATGGGCCAAGAGATGGAGATTGAGAGACACACGCGCTAACATAACTAGTGTGTACAACTGAGGCAGTAGGTGTGGAAGACTGTTTGGCTGTAAACCATTTCACAAAATCTTCATACTCGGGCTTGAGAGTTGGTTTTGAACTTGGGCAAGGTTCAAATTGAACAATATTTGCCACTTGTTGGGGAGGACGTCCATGCAAGAGCCAACACCGATCTTTTGTGTGGCCAACCTTTTTACAATAGTCACAGTTGGGTCGATTTTTGTTACCATTATAACCACCTCGACCACGGCCACGTCCACGACTCCTCTTTGCCTGGATTGAGATGCCAAAGCTGATGAATCAACAACGATAGTCTCTGAAGATGATTTTGATTCATCAGGGAGCCGTAACAGCCGTGAAAAAGCTTGAGACAAAGTAGGAATTGTGGGGCTAGCAAGAATCTGATCACGAATGGTAGAATATTCTGCAGGTAATCCAAAGAGAGCCAAAAGCATAACAAATGTACCTCGCTGAGAGAGTTGTTCCTGTTGAGTTGCAGCAGGGGGTAGCAACTCATTGAAATCGGAAAGGACCCCTTGAATTCTGCCTAAGTAAGAACTCATAGGCATATCAAGTTTTCGAGGTGCAATGAGACTCATCAAATCAGAACAAATAGCATAAACTCGAGATATATCATTAGTGTATAATGCTTTGGCCTGCTCCCAAACACTAAAGCAAGTCTTATGTGGACGGAAAATTTGCTTTAGTGAAGAATCAATGGTCTGCCAAAGCATGCTACACAATTGAACATCGATTCGCTCCCACTTGGATGGATCAGTCATAGTATCATCAGGTTTAGTAGTAAGATGATCTTTATATCCTTGTCCCATAAACCATAGCTCAACGTTAGCAGCCCAAGTAGAGTAGTTACGGCCTTTTAGTTTTTCGGTAGTAATAATAGTAGAACCAGTAATAGATGGATTGGCCATGAGAGGAGTTGTGAATTTAGATGTAGATGTTATAGATGTATCGGATGTAGACATAATGATATTGGGTTAAAGAAAATCACCGGGTAAAATCACCGGGTGGGATGATTAGAAAACGAATTTCTTTTTTCTCACTAGCTCTGATACCATGAAAGAGAAGAAGCAAGAGAGGAAGTTGTTTTGGGATGACATTCCTTCCCTTTTATATGTGAGTAGTACAACTGACATATATATACAAGATTGAAATAATCTAGATCCTAAAATCAAGCTATCAAGATCCTAAAATCAAGCTAGAATAATTAGCTATCTACTTCCTATAATTAAACTAGGATAATAAGGCTAATAATCAGGCTATCTAATCCCTATAATTGATGTATAATATATCACACGTATCTAGATATATTCAATAGAGTTCATGTATTTAATGTGTCTGTTATATTCGCCCTGATTATACATGCAATGGCTTCTGTTTTGACTGCTACTCCCGAAAGAGGCCTAAGCTTGGACTAGTTGGTAAATTATTGCATATTTTTTCCTAGATGGTTTAAAAAATTCTTAAAAGTTCTGTACCAGGAAAATCACTCTGTTTTATCTCTTTTTAGCAGATTTACTGGAGTTGAAGGTCCAATTCCCTCCTGGCTAGCTGAAGATCTACTTTAGCAATTTTTCTTGCCAAATGGTAGCAGAAGGAAGCAGGGTACACAGAGCAAGTTTACAAGGAAAGGAGAGTGAGGGCATGCGAACAATTCATTTGAGGTAGTTAAAATCCTCCACGAAATCTTTTTCAAATTGACCATCTTTGTTCTTGTTTGTTCATTGGTAGTGAAATATATTTCTGTACTGTTGCAGGTGGATGATTGACATGTGAAGATATTCTTGAGGGATGCAAATGTAAAAAATGTACTTATGAAACCCAAGCATTTGGATAGATGAATTTTTTGCAAAGGAAGTGAATTTTTTAGTTTGATTTTAGCAGATAGTATTTCCTTTATTGGATGACAATAATGAAGCCTATGGTGCTGATTTTGCAGAGGGGGATTCCACTCATTAGGATAGTTTTAGAGTGCTATTCATGTGTTCCTTGAATTGAATATTTGTAGGTTCAGAATTCTCTTGTGATTGCAGCGACAAGCATGGTCATGACATTGTCTATCACATGCTGTTTCTTCTAATATGCTCTCCATGTTTTTTATTCCCCTGTTTGGAGTTGATCTGGAATAATCTTGATGAGAATAATCTATATATCATCCGAATTTCTGAAATCTTCTGTGACGCTCATCAGTTCCATCTATGTATTTTAGTCAGAGCAACATAGAAAATTGGAGATGGCTGCTACTTGTAACATAGACCCTTGGAATATGTTTCTCACGTTTGGTTGCAGACTTGCAGGGGTAAAGCACCAGGGAAAAGGAATCAAGGAGTTTGGTGAGGGATTTGGAAGTGTTGTGTGAGGAAACGAAGGAATTGGTCCTGTTTTGCAGGTCGAAGCGCGGATCTTATTTCGAATGATATAGGACTTCCACTGAGATTTGGCAGTTTGGGATTTGTTTCTGTGCAAGAAGCAACTGAGGAGGCATCCTGGATTCTTTCTTTGGTCTGAAATGTGAAGCATTCGGCATTTCCCATCATGAAAGTACAAGTGCATCTAGAGGATGTATCAGTGTATTCATAAATGACTCATAAAATCGAAGCTTGATTCGAAAAAAGTCACCGAAACATATTGTGCAGAAAAACTAAGCTGAGGAATCGAAGTTTTCATTCATTGTCCAGTTGAAAAAAATACAACTGAATTGATGAAATGGCAGCAAACCTGAATGTAATAGGAAGATGCTACATCTATATTGCATATTACCATCTAAAGCTTTTTGAGTTAAAGCTGCATGGAATGGACTAAGTCAACATGAAGCTTTTGTTCTGATCCCCCTCTTGTCAAAAGAAATTCTTGATCAATGGAGAGAAAAAAAAAAGGACTTTTTCTTTGAGAAGAAACATGCACGTTTAGTACTTGATATCACTGATGGCTTCTGAGAATTGGTTGTTTCTTGGACAGCCGTTCCTAGACGGAATGAAAATTGGGAGTTGCTCATGGAGTTGGGCTTTCCCCAATGGTAACTGAAGCAGGTGAAGATGTGAAAGTATGAATGGCGGGCTCTTTTGGTTTTGTTGTCTTTCTATCAATGTCTAGTAGCCTAGTTCTTTGGTGTAATACTGATCAGATGCTATAGTTTGGATAGCTGGTACTGTTGAGCTATTGTGCTCTCTGCTGGTAAATTCCCTACTTCTCAGTCACTAAAATTTTTACTTTTTGCCGGGAAAAAGTGATATTAACCTATCCCCCTTCCAGGAAAAGGAGTAGCCACATTTTGTTGTTATGAAAACATGGTTCTCAGCATGAATTATGTGATCAGATTCTTGATCATTTATTTCTTCTTGTATTGTACCATGTGTACCGATCAATCCAGGCAATGCCGAGTACTATGATTGTAATTCTTTGCAATTGCAAATCAAAATCAAAATCATGAAATTTTTTGCATAATATTTAGTTCAAATTTTTGTATTTTTATAGTTCAATTTATCAAGTAGAAATTGATATTGCAACATATTAAGCGGGATAAAATTGTAATTGGACTTGATGGGTATTAATGTATTATTGATTAATATTCAAAAATAGGAATTGGGTCAAAACTCGAAGGGTGCTATAAATTGATAATTGAGTTTATAAATAAATTTAGATAAGTTTGTAAAAAAATTAAAAAAAAGGGGCATAGATGCTTGGGTTACCTGGATCATTTTTGACTTATTTATTTGTATTGGTACAGATAGGTGAATCCAATTATATCAATTACTTAATTTCTACGCAAACCCGTTCTTGTCACCTAAATTGTCACCTTGCAATGTTGCAACTTGATAAGCTACGTACCTTATTGACCATTGACTATGTATAATTTTGCATTTTCTATGCTTCTTGATCTCAAGGTGAAAAGTTTTTCGAAAATTTGTGAAGTGATCAAATGGAAACAAAGAAATTTTGTTTGAAGCAATTATAAAAAGAAAAGGATAAAAAACTATGTAGCACTTGAATTACTAACCAGTATTTTCCAACTTACTTTTTCTTTACATATTTTGTTAACTTCACTCCTTTTTTTTTTCCCTAATTTCCTTTTTTTGGTGCATTTGGTGGTTAATCAGTCAAAAATGGTAAAATATTTGTAGTTATGACCCAATGACTCAAATTCCCAACATTCTATGAACTCTAATTATCAAATATTTTAAAAAAAATACCAAATTCTTGAACTTTCAATGTAATTGGTAATTATTTAGTCGAATTGCACTTTCTTTTTTAATTTTGTTTTCATTTCTATTTTCTTTTACAAACCCATAATCCAAATAGAGGATTTAATTTGAAGCAACTCTGCCTCATGTAAAAGCGCAAATCTAGTCAACGAGAAGCATATTCTTCACATTAAATATTATTAATCAGTAAAACTCCCCCTAAAGTATAGCCATTCTTGCGCTTTATCTTTTTTCTTTTTTTTTTTGCCGTAACGGCACATCTAGTCCTTTTTTTGTGCTTTATCTCCCAACATTTTTTTTCCTCACTTTATCTCCTAACTCATTAATTAACTATAATATTGTGTAATGATAATGTCAAAAAGGCATTTATATCTCTAAGAGTTAACTACAATAAATCCCCTCATAGTGTAGCTTATTTTTCACTTTATCCACGAACATCAACTTTTCTCAATTTGTTTGTTTATTACTAAAACCCTTATTAAACTTTAATATTTGATAACATCTGGGACAAATAATGTCTAAAAATCAATATTCTTAAGATAGTAATTAAGAAAATATTTTTTTTATAGATATGGTCCTAGTTAAATTTCATGTCATAGTTACACTTTTTTTTAGATCGAGGAGAATATCTTGTTAATTTGACATAATAATAGGAAATAATTGTTATTGAAAAATTAAAAGGTGAAAATATTTTTAAAAGTCTAGATATTATTAGTTTCTCTTTGCAAATGTGCATATGGCTGACCTTTTGCTTTAGTGTTTGGATGTATTCTATACATTGGAGTATACATTTTTTTTGACAATACTTAAAAAAGAGAGAAACGTTGTTGATATAGGCATTGAAGTTTCCTAGGTTGTTCTTTTAATATACTATACTTAGATGCTATTAAAAATTATTTGGATTGCTAAGTTTTTCTAAAAAAAAAAATAATTTTGTTACACCATAAATACATTTCCTAATCATCTTTTTATTTTTTTTAAACCACTTTTTTCATCTCACGAACATCAAATCAGAAAAAGTGCAATTATTCTAAAAAAATTTGCCAAATAATCTTCAATCCAAAAAAAACCTAATCTATAGACCTTTAATAATAGTTTCATAGTTTAATTTTGCACTAATAATTTTTTTCCCTTATCACAAGAAATGAGCGAGATATTTTCCTCTATCTAAAAAACCTATAATAATTGGGATAAAATTTAACAAGGCTTATATCCATAAATATATGATAATTGTCGTTATTATGTTAGGGATATTGATTTCTTTAAACATTATTTCTCTTGAGTGATACAAAATATTAGAGTTAACTAATGGGTTTAGGGATAAACAGACAAATTAAGAGAAAATTATATCAAAAGGTAAAGTGCAAATTGCAATATACCTTAAGGGGATTTACTATAATTAACCCTTCGGGGTATCAATGTTCTTTTTGACATTTTCATTATGCAATATTAGAGTTGACCAACGGTTAATGAAGCAAAGTGAAGAAAAAAAATCAGGGGATAAATAGCAAAATTGGTAAACCTTAGGAGGAGGTTTTGTAGTTAACCCTAAATATTATTCTATTTGGACAAAAGTAAAAGTTGAGGGCAAAAATGCATTGAGGACCAAAATCTCTTTGCTACGGGGTTGATCACAAAGCATTGGCCCTCGATGCTTTCCGGTTAGTGCATTATGATTATGCTTAATTTAATATTGGCAAATATTATCAGATTCCATTCAACTGTGCTATCGTTCCATGGGAAGAAAGCAAAGTGTCTAGTCATTGATTACCTGTATATGAACTTTTTGGTCTTTCTTATTACAAACAAAATTAATTTTTAACATTTCCCAGTAGTTAAACTACAACTCTAGAAATTTGAGATCCTAAACGCAAATCCCATCCTCTTCCGCTTCGTAAGTCCCATCCTCCGCGTGGGGAAAAAAAAAAAAGAGCACAATGGAAAGGGCATAAACTTTGATTAAGGATGCCTTTGATAAAAAGAAGTTTGAAAACTAAAATTTAAAATCTAAAATCCGAAATTTGAATACATTAAGTTATTGAATTGTTAAATACTAAATCTGATATATCTAAGCGTATATCATATTCAATGATAAGTGAGTAGTTTATCACTTAATTTTGGAGACAAGTTTTACCCAGAAAATTCAAAGCCACTTAATTAATTTAGATATTTTATAATTTGTTATCAAACGCATCTGAACATATAAAGACTTGAATCCATTAAATTTAAGTACTAAATTGACTTATCAAATAGGGCCTAACTTAAATTTTAATTTGTCAAACTTAATACACATATGACCTTCAACCACTCAATTCAAATGTAATGCTGTTTTCTTATCTCTGCAACATTGGGAAAAATGCACTTTTGATCCCTATTATTTGGGATGTTGGACAATTTCGTCTCTAAAGTTTTAGTCAAAACATATTTCATCCTCATAATTTGATAATTTTGACCAATTTTGTCTCTATAATTTAATGCAAACATATTTTACCATCATAGTTTCAAAAATTTGACTAACTAAAGACAATTGATAGATTGTCAAGCAATTTGGACGGAATATCATCACTTGATAATAGCATGCGTGTTAGTAAAATATAAAAAACATTGGATCAACAAAAACCTCAAAAATCATTTTTTTAATTCACTTTCTTTTATAAAAAAACAACTAAGAAATTTTCAGCCACCACACTTTGGTCTTAATCACAAATTGAATAAAAAGATTGAGAGGAAATGAAGTTGTGAAAAAGAAACAACCAATTGGAGAAATTATTCGAACAATCCCATTACAACCAATTGGAGAAAAATATTAAAGTGAAAAAAAGAATTGTTTAGATTGTCATTTATTTTCAAAATTTTGTTTTGTTGCATCATATGCATGTTTTTCAAATTGTCTATCTATCATCCAATCTATATTTTTTATCTCACATAATCATATCACAATTTTTTTTAAAACAAATCTCTTATCTGA